CTGTTTTGACTAAGAAAAGGGCATTACTAAGAGAAATTGTCTACAGTCATCAACTGATTGCAGGCACATGTTTAAACACTGATTCCATCACTTAGTCGCTGTAAGATTTAAATCAGGTTACTTAGGCTTGATAAGCCTGAATTTCCTCATCTGTAAACTAGGGGTTCTTGGGAAGATATAATGAAATGAAGCACTTGATATGGACTAAGCGTAAATAATGGTATAGGTACCCCGTACCATTGATTGTGACTCGCAGTGGCCTCATGCGACAGAGAAGAACTGCCCATCTGAGTTTCTGAGCCGATATCTTGTTATGAGAACAGGCAGCCTCATCTTTGACCCACTAACCTTCTAGTTAGTAGCTCAAGGTGTGATCCATTTCAAGAGGTAGCATATGATCAAGAACTGCAGGTATTCAAAGAAGTTGTTCAGGCTGCAGCAGAGGCATTAGCAGAAACAAAATTCCAGGAATTGACAGAATACTAACTGAAATGCTTCAACATGGGAGGTACTCATCATCTGTGCCAAAAAATTCGGAAGCCAGGAGGAGGTCCAGATTTGCTCCCATTTCAAAGAGAGGCTACCCAACGGAATGCGGAGATTATTGAATAGCATACATTAACATCATATGCAAGTAAAACTTGGTGATCATCCCCAAGCAGTTGCAGCAGTACGGTGGCCAGGATCTGTTCGCCATTTGTGATGGATTCGGAAGAGAACAGAACATGAGGCAGGATGTCATTGCTGAAATTAGAGCAGCGGTTCTCAACCTTCCTCATGCCATGACACCTTAATACAGTTCCTCATGTTGGGGTGACCCCCCCAACCATAAACTTATTTTCGTTGCTACTTCATCACTGTCATTTTGCTACTGTTATGAATCGGGGGACCCCTGTGAAAGGGTCATTCGACCCCCAAAGGGGTCACCACCCACAGGTTGAGAACCGCTGCATTAGCTGGATCTGAGCTGGAAGTGTCAGAAAGAGGCTTCCCTGTGTTTCATTGACTCTGCAAAGGCGGTCGACTATGTGGGTCATGGCACACTATGGGCAACATTACAAAGAATGGGAATCCTGTGACGCCTTATTGTGCTCACGTAGAACCTGACGAAGACACAATTGTTGGAAGAGAGTAACTGCATAGTTTAAAATCAGGAACAGTGTGTTAGGGTTGTATCAACCAATCTGTATGCTGAACAATAATCTGAGAAGCGGGGGCTGTCTAAGCAAGAAAGAAGCACCGGGATTGGAAGAAGCAAATTAACAACCTGCCATATGCATCTAGTACAACCTTACTGCTTGACAAGAGGGGGACTTGGCATCCTCGTTGGGGAAAATCAAGGACTTCAGTATGGCTTGGATTAAAACTCAATGTAAAGAAAACCAAAACCCTTACTACTATAAACCAATAGACAAAATCAAAGTAAGTGGAGAAATGATGGAAATTGTCAAGGATTTCATTTTACTTATGTCCACAGCCAACACTCATTGTGAAGCAGCGGTCAAGAAATCCAATAAGGTCTTGTATTGAGCAGATTTGCTACGTAGACCTCTTTAAAGTGCTGACGAGCAAGCATGTCACTTTCAGGACTAAGGTGTGCTTGACCCGAGCCATGGTATTTCAATTGCTTCATACACATGTGAAGGTTGGACAATGAAGAAGGAAGGCTGAAAAGCAATTGATGTGTTTGTATCACGTGTGGTGTTGGTGAACAATATGGAAAGTGCCATGGATCGGCATTGAAAACACACAAAGCTGGCACGAAAGATTTTATGGCCAGAATGCTCCATAAAGTCAAGGATTATGAGACTCTGCCTCACATATTTGGACATGTT